CTGAGAAAGCCTGTGAAGAAAAACCCACCACACTGGACCACCCCCCGAAGCCCTTCCTTCTTTAGCCCCTTTGAAATAATGTATGGCTGCCCATTTCTCTTAGGAAACTTGCCTCCAACAGACCCTGCTCCTCTGGCTGACTATATACCTTATCTTAACCTTCTCAGGGGACTTCTCAGAGAGCATGCAGACCAGATCCTACCCCACCCTATAACAATTTCTATTAAACCAGGGATCTTGTTCTCCTAAAGCATCCTCACAATGCCCACCACTGTCAAGTTCAATGGGATCCCCCAGTGGCAGCACCTTTCAAGGATAAAACATTGCCCACCAACTTCAGACTCTTCCACTACAGCAAAGGATGAGTACTCTTGCATACACTGGGCCCCACGTGGCTATGCCTCTCCCACAAACTGTCTCCCTCTTCCACTCCTACATAAGTTTTTAGTCCTCATCTGGCTCTCAATTTTCTGCCACAGGTGGATTTAAAGCACTGGTGGGGCAGTGAGCCTAATTCTGGGAACATACATAATACTTACCTACTTCCTTCCCTTGGTTATATGATCTATTAGGTCTATAATAGAGGCTACTATAGAAGGAAAAACAGCTGCACATGTAATGATGCTACTCCAAAACCGACGAAGCTTTGACCTACTCACTGCAGAGAAGGGTGGTCTCTGCCTGTTTTTACAAGAAGAATGCTGCTTCTATGTTAATCAGTTTGGGGTAGTGAAAAATAAAATTAGACAACTCCAGGAGCAATTAGAAAAATGGAGAAGGGAGTTGGAGGACTCTTGGAATCCTCTAGGGAATAACATTTCACAGTGGTTGTCTTGGCTAATGCCCATCCTAATGCCTATTCTTAAGCTTTCTTCCTTGTATCATAAAAACAGTACAAAGATTTCTCTTAGACTGCATGTCTGCTGTTGCTAATCAAAAGTTTAACCAGTTGTACTGCCAGGGATATCAACCTCTCCAAAACCGTCCGGTGGACTGCTGTGAAGGCCCCTACCAGGAAGCCACAGGAGTCTGAGGATCTTACCCCATATAATGCCCCCTGCCAGCAGGAAGCAGCTGCCCCAATTCCCGATCCTCAGCCCCTACCCTCATCATTATCAAATTAAAAATTGGGGAATGATAGAGTAATAATGTTGCCATTTTGTGAATTGGTGCCCATCTTATCCTCAGGTCTCACTTCTTGAGAAATGGAGCCACCCCCAACAACAGCCCTGCCCTTAACAGAAATTCCCATGCTCTAAGACAAGCTCCACCCCTTATGGAGACTCCCACGCATGTGCTAACTTCCTTAAGCTCCCTCTTCTATAAAAGCCACGCCTAGCCCAGAGTCTGTGCTGCGCCATATTTCCCTGGCCAGCCTGGCAGTTTGAGCCTGCCATTAAACTTTGCTCTTGGACGTGAGACTTTTCTTGTAAGCTTTCTTTGTGAGTGGCGTTTTTCCTAACAGTTCATACAGACCCAAGAGGGTGGAGAAATTCACAATGTAGAAGTGTGTGTGATGGACTGTAAAGTTTTAAACACTTTTGGAATGTAAACATCTTTGGAAATAAGGCAGTCTGCCATAGGGATGCAATTTCATATTATTGTAAACAGATTATCAGTTGGTACAGTACTATTTATTGAACAGTCCATGTTTTCCCATTGATCTGTATTATCTACTCTATCATAAATTGTTTCTGTATATGAATGTGTATTTGTTTTAGATTCACTTTGTTTAGGCCCATGGATTCAAACTTGGGACAACTTGACAATGTCTGGAGAAAATTTTAGTTGTCACAAGTGTGTCAAGGGGTGCTACTAGTATCCAGTGAGTAGAGGCCAGGGTTGCTTGTAAACACTTTACAATGCCTGCCACACACACACAATAATGAACTATCTGGCTCCAGATACTACAGTGCGAAGATGAATTGCCATGGCTTGTGCTATGAGTTTGCCCTCCCATATTATCTTCATCAGTCTTAATATCTAGTAAAAGAGTCACCTCACCCTGTTTTTCTTCTTTAAGAATATCTTGATTATTTTCTCCTTTGCATTTTCATGTACATTTGAGGATCAGTTTATCATGATTTATGAAACTCTTTATATTGTTACTGGAATTTCATTATAACCGTAGATCTTCATGGGGAAAATTGACATTTTATGATATTGAATCTTCTTTACCAGCATGATGTATCTCTCAGTTTAGTTCTTCTTTAATGTCTTTCAATAAAACTTAAACTTCTTCTTAACAAAGCACTTATAAATCTTTTTTGCTTTTGAGACAGGCTGTCACTATGTAACCCATACTCAAACTCAAGATCTTCCTGGCTCTGCTCTCCAAATGCTGGGATTACAGGTGTGCATCACCAAATATGGCAAAGCATTCACAAATCTATGCAGGATGCTTTGCTGTCTTGGCCATTAGTTATGAGGCTTTTAGTAAGTTGTTTTCCTATCTTGGGCCTGATTTCTCCATGTGAAAATGGGACATTTGAACTAGATCAGCTCTAACAGGCTTTGTAGCCAGAGACTGCATAATTAAAATGTTAGGATTAAATAAACTTCTAAAGCACAAAATAAAAGTAGTCCACTGGAGGGAATTTTTCTGCATTTTGTCTCATGCAAGGTTGCCAGACTGCTGTGAAAATAGATACAGAGCACCTGCTAGAGGTAGCTGCAGTGTAACTCATGGCAAAAATCTCATCGTCTTTTGGTTGGGGATGGGAAAAGAGAGTCCTTGGTATCTCTTCAGTTACAGTGCTGTACATAAGACATTCTGCTTTTGTCTTTGGAAAAATATTCCTCACTTCTGGGTGAGGGTATACAGGAAACACATTTCTGAACCTAGATGGAAATTTATAGATCATCCAGTTTACTTCTTTCACTTGAAAAATGAGTAAGTAATGATTTAGAGAGGCTTCTACTTTCCAAAGAACACATAGCAGTTTGTGAGAGTGCCAAGTCTGGAACTCAGGTCCAAAAGATTTTAAACCATAGTTATGGTAATGGAGTTGGGGAAGAAAGAAGTGGGTATTGATTCTGGGAATTGTGTTTAATTTTTAATGGACTGAGAGGTGGGTAGTCTGTGAACTGGAATTATATGCAATATTATGTGTATATGTGACTGTGTGTATGTATATACATGTGAACTATAGTTTGCTGGAAGCAGAACCGTTGTGATTATTAGCTTCTAAGAAATCAGACTGAAGCAGCACATGGTGGCATAAGCCTGTAATCCTAGCATTCCAGAGGCTGAGGCAGAGGATCATGAATAGGGAGACCCTGTGGAGAGATTGAAGGGGTGGGAAGTGAGGGGGGGTGAGGAGGGAGAGAGAGAAGAGAAAAGAAAAGAAAATTAAAGAAATTGGATTGACTTCTGTAAGCCAGCCTTTACTTACAAAGTAGGATACCTTTGGGCTTTTAAAATTCATTTAATTTATATTTTGTACTCTCTTGGGAACACATACCTTGGTAACTTGATTATCATGAATCAAAGCTATCTTTCAGTTTATCCTTAACTTGATTTAATGATTTCCAGACCTCATCTTTTGCTTACTGACTCAAAACTGACTTTTAAAATAAAGTGCTCTTTTTTTTATTTTTGAATGCTCTTTTCAGAGAAGGTGAAACTCACTTTTCTCTGTTAGTCATCTCTTTCAAGTCTCTCATGACTGTTCTTGAAATGTTTCTCCATAGTTCTTTTATTATTTCTGATACTCCTGATTCACCTTGGTGTAAGCTTTCCTTGAAAACTACAGACATTTAAAAAAAATCTTTGCTTCTGCCTTTGCTTTAAGACTAAGATGTTTAGTTATTTGAATTACTTTTCCCATGTATACACAAAATTTTAAGACTTTATTTTAATTTAGATCTCTAAGAATTCAAAGTAAAAGTCAACAACCTACTGATTTCTATGTCAGCAGTAAGACCCAGAGTTCTTGCAAAGGGCTTTTGTTTGTTTCTGGTTTGGTCTGAGGATGGAAACCAGCTCCTTGCACATGGTAGGCAAGCATTCTACCTCTGAGCTACACCTCCAGCCCTGCAATTCATTGAATGTATCCGTTTCTAAGGAGTTTACAGAAAAAGACTCTCTGAGAAAAATATATATTCAGCTTTTGCTCTTTATCAGATACTGTGTATTCCAATTGCAAGAGTTAGAATTTATGTAGGCTTTTATGCTGATATGCAAAAAGGCTAGGAACAGGGATGCAGAAAAGCAGAATGAGGACACTGGGCAGTTTTCTAGCTCTTTCAAGATGGATTTCTAGACTGGTGCTTCAGTCTCCATGTAAAGTGTTAGATATTCAAGGGAATATTTAATACTTATTAAATATTTTTATATTTAGAAATATTTATAAAATTGAGTATTAGGTCAGTGGTACAACACTTGCTTAGCTTGTACAAGGGCCTGGATTTGATCCCCAGCACTGAAAGAAGAAAAAAATAAAGTTAAAATTGGGCCATATGATTTTTGTGCTAATAAACTCTTCCTTAGCAAGTATTATTGAAGATTTCTCTGTTAGTGATTTCTGTTTGGAACTTATCTATAAATTTCAGCTGGAGTTATGAGGCAATAAGGATTTCACGCTGCATGAAATAAAGGTCCTCCCATCCTGTTAAGAACATCTTTAGGTGAACTTGCAGTTCCAGCTACTCAGGAGGATCACTTGAATCCAGGAGTTTGAGATCAGCCTGGGTAACATAGTGAGACTCTCATTTCAAAGAAAAAAATCAAATGAAAAGAGAACAAGTTTTATTCATTTGTTTTTTAAAATGTTGCACATATTTGACAACTGTTTGTTTTTTTTTTCCTTAACTGTTACTTGATGGCCATAAAGAATGAATATTTAAAAAATTGTATTATTGTTGGGTATAGTTATCCTGTGTAATAATTTTATGACGTATGAGCTCGTTTATTATCTGAATTGTTAAAAAACAAAACAAAACAAAAAACCTTTGTCTCCTGCTGCTGAAATAATAGAATATTTCCTCTTGGCTTTTAGATTTCCTCCTTCCTCACCCTTGAAACCCTACCCGAAGAAGCCCCCATATCAAAAGGATGTTATTAAATTTCCAGAATGGAATGATCTTCCACCAAGCACTTCACAAGAGAACATCCCAGTGCGGCCGGTTGTGATGGTATGTGCTGTGACTAAAAGTCCGAGAGCCTATACCAATCCGGGAGGAGCATCTAGTATAGGCTTGGCCCAGTGCTTTCTGTTGGTCCCTTCTGTAAAACAGTGCCATGTCTATGGACAACCTTGAGACAAGTTAACAAAGATAGATTGCAGTTTATCATTCTTGCTCATTGACATTTTGATGGAATAAGTGTAGCTAATTTCACATGTTCAGTCAGATCAGATTTTTTTAAAACTCCCTTGTTATCCCTTTTCCTAACTGTTCTATAATTTACTCTTCTTCCTCTTTGTCTTCTGAACTTTGTTATAATTATTACCAGTGAGAGGGAGAAGGCACATTATGGAATGACCTCTTATATATATTGATATGACCAAGGGCGATTCTAGTCTTGGAAAACCTCAGGTCACCATGCGATAGACTACCTTTTTTTTTTTTTTTTTTGATTCCTGAGTGCTGGGATTCACCCTGCCTAGCTCAGAGAAAAACTTTAAGTACTTGCCTCATGCTTGCTAGGCAAGTGCTGTACCACTTCAGTCATGCCCCCAGTCCTTTTTGCTGTTTAGTGTGTTTTTCAGTTAGGATTTTGCACTTTTGTTCTGGCCAGCCTCAGACTGAGATCCTTCTACCTCTGCCTTCCAAGTAGCTGAGATTACAGGTGTGGCCCACCAAACCGTGACCATGGTAAGGATTTGAGCAACCTGCTTGTTACATATAACTACTAAAACTTGGGCTCTTATGGTTTCTGAGACTGTCCAAAACAAAAGTGGTGGAGCAGGAACTGTTTCTTCAGGGAAACCTTGATTCAGGGTTTAGAATGATGAGGTCAATAATCAGTAAATATGCAGTTCATCTTCCTTACAGAACTGTATTTCCTTCTCTTTGTGTTTCTTCCTCCAGCTTGCTTATTTTTTGTTTTTGTTTTGTCGTAGCTTGTCTCTTGCCTAGCCATTATATAAAATAAAGTAGAGATAATCCAATTATTGGTTGTATTTGCGGAAGAGCAAACACACATTGTAATGTGAGGGGTAAGAATGTGGACTCTAGAGCCAGACTGCTGGGTTTGAATCTTGGCTTCTCCACTAGCTATTCAAATTTGTTTCTCTGTTTCATCTGTTGTTTTGATGTCTAAGTTTTCTTATCAGTGAAAGTAAGATAATAGAACCTTTGGAGGTAGAGCTGCTGTGAGGATCAAGAGTTTGTAGCCAGCCATCGAGTACTAAGGATAGTACTTGGCACCCAGGCTGTCAGTAACTGTTAAGTGTTCTTGCTAGTATTTATTTCATAGAGTTATTTATAGGCACTGATGATACTATGGATATCATTATACTACTGCTAACATTTTTATTGTGTATTCTGTTTTTCTACCTGTGTTTCTGCCACAAAAAATGAAGTCATGCTGGGCTGTTTTATAGCTTATGTTCTTTACTTGGAACAGTGTGTAATGCTCACTTTTTTATGTTATTAAACATCTGACATCATTTTAGTGTCTGCATCATGTCTAACATAAAAGTAATATATTTTATTTGCCAGTCCTTTACTGTTAGGTATGTATGGTACCTCCAGTTGTTCAGTACATAAACAATGTCCTAAGCAACACCTTTACAGATAAGTACTTGAATACATTCCCAAGTATTGTTTTACCCTTGAACGTGGATTTGCTAGGCAAAGGCAACAATCCATGTGCCTACCTTCAAAAACAAACTTCTAACTTAGATACTTAAAAATTCACACATCCATTTGGCCTTTGAATTTCTTTTCTTTAAAATAAAAATCAAAAACAAAGACTAAATAATAAAAAAAAGCTTTCCCATTCAAATTAATGGTTTTTCTATAATGTTACTTTTGCCAAAAAGTATTACAGAAACTTTGTGTAAATGATGTTCAGTATGCTTTTTAAGGGTCAAAATTCTTCTCTGTGATTACAAAAAGCATGTTTTATGACTTGTATGTGGTAGCCTAAATGTGAAACATGAGCTACTCTCCTATATTGAGGTAATAGAGTTATGGGACTTGGGACACACTCTTTCTAAGCTCCCTAAGCTTTAGCTTTTTCCCCTGAAGAAAGGAGCAGACTCCTGTCAGCCATCCTTATTTGTCTTTGTAGGGCTCTACAAAGGACAAAATTTTAGGACATTTGCAAATGCCTAAAATTGGGCTATTTTCCAACATTATATTTATTTGGTGTTTGCTTATACAAAGTAGAGAATTCTTAAAAGTAAGAATTTTATTTTAAACAGCTGATCAATTTGGACTGTGTGATTTTGGATAGGTATTTCTTGACTTAATTTCAATTTGGTAGAATTTTATTTCACTGATTAGTTGGAATTCCCAGAAGAAATTATTAGCTGCATAATGTTATGCTTATTGCCTTGGTTCTTTTTTGTAATTCATGAATATTCATTTATAATATGACCCAGTCTTAAGAGTCATTCTTTACTTTTCTAAGATCCATGTACAGAAGTTAATCCTAATCATTATTTTAAATCAAATTACAAATAGCCAAATCAAAGACATTTCTCATAAACCATACTACTTTATATTGAAATATTTATTCTATTTATTCTTTCATTCCTTCTTCTTACTCTGCGCCTCCCCCCATTAGAATTCTGAGATGTGGTTTAAGCGTCACAGTATTGCTATTGGAGAGGTGCCGGCTTGCCGTCTCATCTACCGCCGACAGCTTACAGAGGCCAATGTGGAAGAAATATGGAAGTCTATGACATTATCATAGTATGTACATTTTATATTAATGAGAAATTTTAGGATTTTTATGTTTAGAACATCTCAACTTTGCATAATTTGCACCTATGCTGCTTAGCAAACATAATTTAACTGGATTTTGGAAATTTTCTGTTATCACTTACGTGATACTTAAAAATAGGAGTTTCAAAGTTCTTAAACTTTCCTTCATTCCCTTTCCTTCCTTCTCCTCTTCTCTTCTTTTTTTTTTTTTTTTGAGACAAAGTCTCACTTTGTAGTCTCACCTTGAACTCATGATCTTCCTATCTCAGTCACCCGAGTACTGAGATTGCAGGTATAAGACACTATACCCAGCTAAAAGCTATTAAACTTACAGTGAAATCTTAAGTTTAATTAGTTCAATGGAAAATTTGGTCTCAAATATTTGAGGTACTATAGGTATAAGTAACAATATTGCAACAATTTTTTTTAACCAAAGGTGTATTACTAGTAGTTTCTTACCATTGGATAAGTTAATTTTTATTTTTATAATATTTTTACTTATAAAATTATTTTCTTGGAATTCAGTGTTATATTATTAAATAATTTATATATGTTAATGGGAAAAGAATATTTTAATGGTTATTTTATCATGTTCCATTTCTAACCCTTTTGCCCACAAAGATTAGGTGAAGTACATGAAAATAGTGCATTTTAAAGTTTGATCTTTTGCTTGGCCAGGTTTTTAGGTAAATAATGATTTTTTTTTTAAAAAGTAATTAATTATCCTTTTAGTTTACAGAAAACCCTTGGCTTAGATTCCTTAGAAGAAGTTTTAGACATCAAACATGTCAACTCCAAGTTCATCATCCATAATGTATATAGTGTTAGCAAGCAGGGAGTTGTTATCCTTGATGACAAGTCAAGTAAGTACATAAACCATTTGTTGTTGATTGACCTAACACATTTGGCTACACAGATCCACCAGCTCCTATTTGACCCTTCCTAAGCCTTAAATAAGCTCACCCCATCATTATATATATGCTTCTCTCACTTTTTGATACTTTTTTTTAATGTCTTTTAACCAATTGTTTGGATTAAGAAAGTGTCATTCAAAAATGAGTATCCAGGAGTGAAAACCTCAGTGAAATGCATCCAGAGGCTAGTTTTTTGTTAGCCCCACTGGTTTTTAAGTGGCTCTTATTCTCCTCAGGAAAATTCCTGAAATGTGAGAAGCTATGAGACCTAAGGGAGTGATTGAGTCATTCTGGAGTCTAATTGCATTTGCATTTCTGACTTACTTTTTCATGATGGAGTCTTTGTGTTATATTAACTAGGATAGTTTTGACTTGGGTAATGTTTTTCTTTTTAATAAGATAACTCTTTAAATGTTAACAGTCTTTTAATTTTCCTCTAAGCCAGTTTACAGATCAGGCAGAAAAAAGACATTTAGCAGCCTCCTAACCTGGTTTTTTTGGTTTTGTTTGGTGGTACAGGGTTTGAACTCAGGGCTTCATGCTTGCTAGGCAGGCATTCTACCACTTGAGCCACTCTACCAGCCTTGATTTTTGGCTTGGAAAATTATAGTCATGGTACCTATTATGGATCACAATCTGATTTTAAAACTTCTTTCCTATGGTAAAGGTCATACTAGAATTGTATGAGCTCTTTGTTATATTCTTTTAGTTTAAATCCTTGATGCCTAGAATTGGTTGGAAGTAAATGACCTTCCATGTGAGAAAACTGTGTAATACTTTTTGGGATTTTATAAACTATTATTAAATTCAGGACCAGAGGCTCCTGGGCAGCAGAGTGTACCAGAAGGAACTTGAGCTGTGTGAACAGGGAAGACATTTTTCTAGGCCGTCTCCTGACAGGAGCAGAGCCTGTCTTTGAAAATGGAAACACTTCCCCTCTCCCAGCCCCTATATCAGGAACAGAGGACAAGGGGAGGCAGAAATAGATTCATGGTTTAACATCAACATGTAACATTAAGTTCCATAGAATGAAAGGATATTGTAGCCTTTGAAATACATCTAAATCCTTCCACATTCTTTGGTTTGTACAGATTAATGCTTTTAGTTCAGTTAGATGATCAGATATCTTTTGTTAAGTTCTTCTGAAAAAAAGGGGATTTTTTACAAGACTCAGGTTGTTTAGATGTAACTCAATTCAACAAACACTTCTGCGAAGTGGAAGCATGAGTGCTGGCTTATCTAGTCAATGTCTGTGAGAAGGCTGAGAGGGAAGAAACTGTACCAAATTGTAACAATGTGACTACTATTATTTTAAGGCAGTCCTAATGCTAATAGTGTAGTATTAGTATTTCAGTGGAACTTCTTTGGCCTAAAACATTTTGCAAATGGTAACAGGCGAAATGATACTTATAAAATATGCTTTTTTTCCCGATTTGGGAATTGAACCTAAGCCCTCGCATGTGCTCTACACCTTAACTATATCCCCAACCCAGAATTTACCTTTAGCTGTTTGGTAAATTTGTTTCACAAATGAATTTGATGACTAATACTTTTGTTTCTTCCTTTCTATAATTCATAGTGCTAATTGATTTGTCTTTTGATTCTTTTTTTGTTCTGGAAAAAACATCCAATTTTTTTTTCTTTTTACTAAAATTTTAAAAGGTCCCTTATCCTTAGTGAAACCTGTAGGCATGATGTATATATATAAGTACATGTTTTAATGCTGCTGCCAAGGAAAGATTCCTGCCCTTTAAAAGTCCTGTACTTTTAAAATCAGTAGCATATTTCATATTACCTGGGCAAGTAATACATTCAAATAATAGCCAATATGTATATAACTCCTGGAGTTGCACAGAACTAAATAAAATATCTTTTTATTTTTATTTTTCCTGCAGAAGAACTTCCTCATTGGGTACTATCTGCTATGAAGTGTTTGGCAAATTGTAAGTGCTAATTATCTGCCAGTTCTTTTTTGAAATTAACAGAAATTAGTGCCCTGAATTAGAAAATATCTCTGCTCAGTGGTTTCACACCTGTGAGATTGGCTGTTAATTGTTTTGGGAGTACTGTGCTTTTAGTGATTAATTTGTGAGTTGTGAAAGGGCTGTTCTCATAGGTAAAATCATACTACAGGTAAAGTCTACATTAATTTTGATGGCTCATCATAGGAAAGAAAGGAATTAGTGATAGTGCATGTAACATAGTGACAGCTGCCTATTATCAGGTTATAGGTTTTTATTCCTACAACCTATGCTTTCATTCTTCTTTTTCCCTTTATTGTTGTGATGGGTGGGGGTACATTGTGGCATTTACACAGGTTCTTACAGTGTGTCAAATATATCATACATGAATTCACCTCCTCAAATATTCTTCTTCATCTCCCCCTCACACCCCACTGGTTTGTGGAGTAGTTTTAACAGGTATCATTTTTGCATTTACATACATGTGTATAGGAGAGGGGGTAGGAGGGTAAATATGGTACAGAAATATGTTTTTATTCTTAAAGCATGTATTAATATCCACTGTATTTACATCATCAGTTGTTCAGCAGATTCTGTTTCTTTCTGACTTTTCGTAGGGCAGTATTTTAATTGGGGACAGAAATATTTTAGAGGACTGATCCAACTGATATGCAGGATGGTTTGGAAGGAGAGGAAACAATAGCCTAGTTCAGGAATTTGGATGTAAGACGAGGGAGCCTGGACTAGAGTGGTTCTTGTGAGAACATTAATAGATACATGAAATCCGTCTCCCAAGCACATGGAATCCATTTCATTGGTTGTCATAGGCACTGTGAAGGAAGGAGTAGTTGTAGCATCTCAGTGCCAATACATTTTTCTGGTGATTTTCAGGAGGCTTAACCCAAGGAAGGAAATATAATGGCTAATGGACAATGCCAAACAAATGATTATAATGAGAATAGTTCTAGCCATTTTGGTTGACTGATATTGGTGAATATTTGATCTTAGAGGGGCTTTTGAGTCTCACAGATATCTCAGAAAAGTAGTTTCTTTTTTTATTTTTGGGCAGGACTAGCATGGCTAGAGATAGGTTTATAAATTCAGTAGAACCTGAATTATTGATTTAATTGGAGTATGTTTTGTTTGATTATAGGATGAAACTAGCTGTTCAGCTTAATGTGGGTGATCTTAGAGGTTCTATGTTGAAAATGATTATATACTATCATTCTGAATATGCATAGCAGCATTAGTTTTTGTGAAGCCCAAAGTTGTCCGAGCCTATTAAAATTTTCATTGGTTTTTGGTTTAATATTTTGGAAACTCTGAGATGTAGTGTGGTGTACTGTGATTTTAGCTTGAGGGAAGAGCTTTTTCTTCTTCCCGCTCAATCATTTGAAGTAATTTAAATTTAAATTATATCTTTGGCCAGAACTGGCAATGATGAGATAGAAGGTAAAAATGGAAAATTAAATTACCCATTTTCGAACTCCTGACGAACTAAAGATTTAGAAGTTGATCAGCTGGGACTGAACATAGGAGGCCAGTGTAAAACGTGTAAGATATAATATGCCATAAAGTATATTAAGGTATGTTAATGATGTTGAATTTTTCAATGATGACAAAATATAGTGAAGTATAATTTTCCCTCAACCAAAATGTGTATGTAAAGCCATAAAACTTCTGAAGAAAGGTAAGAATGACTGAATTATTTGTCAAGAGAGAGGGAAGGTGCAAGGCAAGGCTTACAATAATCTGCACATGTACTCCACAGGGAGTAGTCTATCAGGTGGAGAATGCTGGGAGTAGTGAACATGCCTCACATGTGTCATGTGTAGTGCTTTATGAATGGCTGGCATGTCCACAAAGATGTTCATTTTTGTATCAAAGGTTAAAGGGTGGGCAAAGACAAGATCGGACCTTGGATAGCTTTATACAGTCTCTAAGTTTTCCAAAATTCCCCTTGACCTTCAAAATTAACTTTGAGTCCATCAAAGTCTTGACCTGTTCTTTGTTCTTTTTTATCCTTAATGAGTCTGGATGCTCATTGCACTCACCTGAAAAGGAACAGAAAGTGTAGGCTGTATATGTATTTTGGAGGCCAATTGCCTCTTTTTCTATAGGCCTACTACTCACTTTTTATCTTCAAGGCTCATGTGCAGTTATTGTTGACCAAGTGCAGGTAGGCCTAGGTACTTTATTTGTTGACCACATTCATTCATGGCTGGCCACAGAATTAGGGATTGATGCTAGATAAATACAAAACCAGATTAACTGTTTTTTTTTTTTCTTTTTGCATGTGGTTCTTAACTTGATCAAAAATGGAAACAAAAGTCAAAGCATTTCTTTTCCAGAATCTGTCAGGAAAAACATTTATAAAAATCTAGAATAAGGGGGAAATATTCAAAGAAATTGTCCTAGAAATGGGGCCTCCTTTTACCGGACTCAGAGTGCCCCGTTTTGGTTTTTTGTTGTTGTTTTGTTTTATTTTGTTTGTTCTTGCATTTTTTAACAAGGATGATGAAATGTTCACAAAGGCATATGACTGCTTAGAATGAACCACATACTTCTGGTAGGGACTAATTCTAGGCAATCTGTCTTGCTTGCTGGGACATATCAAATGAATTATTTCAGTTGACTGTATCAGGAGGAAGCAAGCAAACTGGTGATTCCTTTTGCTGCTGCTTGGTACCACACATACAGATATTTCCTAATTTTTGCCAGAAAATTGTTTTATAAGAAGAGGACAGAATGTGAAAGATGAGAGTTTTTAGAAAGACCAGAACAGGACATTTCATGGTGACCCAGTGGATTGAAATGTGAAGGTGCAGAATGAGTTACTCTTCTTTTTAGCTTGATGCTCTTTCCATAGTTCTACTGATTCTGTAGGAAGAATTTCCTTGAGTTTATCTTGGCTGCTACTTTTGTTTTTCTGATCATAGAGGTCTATTTGGGTACCATTGTTAAGTCTTCTGCTGGTCCCACGCTGTCCAGTGTGATTGCATATCTTTTTTTTCCCTCCCATAGTGCAATGGAAATAGATAGAAAAGTCTGGCTAAAACTATTCCTCATAGGACTACTCGCCATTTTCCTAAGACTCCACACGTCCTGTTTGTCAAATTGGTCATGAAAACCTGTGCTATGTGCATGAATTGTTGCTGCCATCTCTGTGGAGAACATTTTTTACTCCTTTTTGGTCCTAGATTCAAGTTGGTCTGTCTTGTCCTACTGCTAGCTTAGGATGTGGCTGAGGCCAGGCTGTTTCAGAATTCCTAAGATTGTTCCAACTTTGTAATATGACTCTGTTGGATAAGCTGTCTTTTGATGGTTGATTGTGTATCAGCAAGAGAGTTAACAGAATGAATTACCTAGACAAAATTTATAACATCCTTTTCATTTTATCTTTAAAGGAAAGTATTTAAAGTTTTCATCTGTCTGAAAAAGTGTAGTTAGAAGCAGAAATTATTTCACTCAACTCTATGACCGTAGGATTTTATAATACAACAATGATGAAAATCTGTAAAAACTGCTTTGTAGCTTGTCTATTACATACAAGAGCTAATTGTTACATTGGGCAACCTTGTCAAAATTAGGAAAACATTAATATTGCAAAAAAATTATTATTTATGTTTAATAAAAAGTGCCTTACAGAAGGACAAAAAAGAGTTGGTTTCTTTTAAAAGGGAAGTAGACCAGTACTTTTCCTCATTGTTTTATAATAGATTTTAATTAGACACAAGTATATTTATATAAGCAAAATGTATAATGTCAAATTTCCACATGAAAACTTTTCTGTATATCTTGACTCTGTATATTTCAATATCTGTACATACCACACATATGCATGAATTCTGTACTTAGAGGTAACTGTCCTATTAATGTTTTTCCTTTTTTTTTCTTTTTTAAAATAGGGCCCAACTGTTCAGATTTGAAGCAGCCTATGTACTTGGGATTTGAAAAAGATGTATTTAAAACTATAGCAGATTATTATGGTCACTTGAAAGAGCCGCTGCTTACATTTCATCTCTTTGATGCTTTTGTCAGTGTATTAGGTAAGTTGGAATATAATGAACACTGATGTTGAACTTTTTCTTTTTTCTTTATGCATATTCTAAATAAAAGCTGATAGTGTGCTTGGCTTAGCTGGATTCCTGCTCCATGAAGGAATAAAAGAAAACAGTTAAGCTCTACTTTGGGGACCAGGAGCAAAATGTTGTGTTTTGGATATGAAGTGTTTCTCCAAAAGGCTATGTGTTGAAGGCTTGGTCATCACGTGTAGATCCAATCATTGAGAAGTGATTAGATTATGAAGACTCTGACCTAATCAATGGATTAATCTATTTATGGATTCATAATTTGAATGGCAATATTGGGGGGTGGGCTGGTTGGAGGAGATGGGTCACCGGGGTGTGTCGTTGAAGGGTATCTTATCCCTGGTCTCTTCCTTTCTGTCTCTGCTTTCTGGCTGCCATAAGCTCTGGTCCAGTATCCCTCTCCACCATGATGCTTTGGCTTACCATAGGCTCACAGCCATGGGGCCAAACAACTGTGGACTGAAGCCTCTGAAACTGTGAACCAACATAAATCTTTTCTCCTTTCAAGATTTTTATGCCAGGCATTTTGTCACAGAGAGAAAAAGAATATCAAACAATATATACATATATAAAATTATTAAACCTCATTATATAAAACACCAGAAACTATAGGTTCTTAAATTTAGTGTAATCCCAATTTTAAAAGCAGAAATTATTTGGAAATTGACAAAGTAATAGTAAAGTTATTTGAAAGAATAAATATGCAAAATTGCCCAAATTCTAAAATGGAAGAACAACGAAGAGTTTTTTTGTTTATAATTAAAGCAGCAGGTATTTACACTAGATTAGAAAGTCCACAGTAGATAAAACGTATATAAATTTTTCCATTTAACAGAGATACTGTTTCAAACTAAAAATTGAGTTATGAAACCCAAAGGACTAGTAGTTTTTATTTCTTAAGAAAGAATAATGTGTTGTATATAATTTTTATGTAAAAAGATATAACTGTTGGTAGAGAGGAATATAAATTTGACATTTACTGTTCATGACTAGACTGTTATTCTATGTATGACTTCATGGTCAAGTGTAGGAAGTACATTGTCATTTAGAAATTAGCTTCTTTTTATAGAAGAAACAGGTTTCATAGGACTATTTGTTATTTGAGACAATGTAAAATAAACATAGTAACTATCTTTTCTTAAAATTCATTTCTATTTCTCATGTAGAATTTACATTGTGAAAGAAACATGGTAGGAAGGAAAAATATTAACATTATTGCTTTTTTTTTTTCTCAGTACTGGGATTGAACCCAGAGCCTTGTACTTGTTAGGCAAGCACTTTACCACTTGAGCCATGCCCCCAGCCCCTTTTGCTTTTAGTTTATTTTTCAGATAGGGTCTCTCACTTTTGCCTGGGCTGGCCTCAGACTGTAATTCTCCTACCTCTATCTCCCTAGTAGCTGGGATTATAGCCGTACACCACCATATTCTAGCATCATTATTACCATTATTCTTTCTTTCTTCTTGGAAATCACATTTTCTTGTTGTTTGTTGTGATTGTTCAGTAAGTATTGTTTTCTTGTCAAACGTTTGCTCTAAAGACCAAATGATTGGTGAGTATCATCTTCCATTATGTAGATTTGTAGGGATTAGCATATTCTCGTATTTGAGCATTTTGAGGTTTAACAATCTTTTCCTTTCCCTTATTTTTACTTCTCTTATTTTCCTCTGCATCCCTTTTCTTCTGCTTTTCTATTATGCTTTCTTTTTGGAAAGTATGGATGCTGCCCTACTAGCCTAACAAAATGTCAGCAATATGTAATATAAGTTACCTGATCCCATAGCACAGTACTTTAGATTTAAGGTTTTGTAGGTTCTCTGATAATGACAAATACTTATGAATACGTGTCATGTACATGAGAGAGATTATTTTCAGATATACCACTATTGGGGACAAATGAAGGGCCGATTTGATCCATTATGAGTCTTGCGGCCACTGGATCTTCTTGGTATTTTGTTTCCATCTGACATTGACTGGGGCCTTATACACTGTGAATGTCATGTCTTACTACTGCTGTGAATGCTTGTGAACCCATCCAGTGGCTTTCTAGTAGCATCACTTACTGCCATTTATACCCTGCTATTAGAAGGGTTCTAAACAGTGGATTAAGTCACTTCTTAGCATTTCTTCTCATTTTCTGCTTTCATAATATTCTACAGTAAAGATATCTGATTGAAAACAAAAGGATTTGTTGGTCTTTTTTAAAAAAAAAAACCACAAATTCCAATCTGAATCAGTTACGTTTTTAATATCACTGGTCTGTTCTATTATGATTATTCATTTTTTGTCTCAGATGAGGATTAAAGATGGCCATATTTCCAAATTAATGTAAGAGCCATTACCTTCTAAAATTTTCTTTTGGAAAGTTTAAGGTGGAGAAGGATGGGCAAACTGGGGAGTTTAGAGAAAGTATTTTAAAGTAAGTAATCAGTCTACTTTGTGTAGAAGCTAAAAATTCTGAAGCATTTTTAATGGAAGTGATTTTCATTTTAGGTAATGACCTTCTTTTGATGTTTCTTCCTTGGCTTATAGCATGGTAGAGCTTGATGTCACAGCTGTGCCCCAAGAGCAGTAGTCATTATTGATACATAAAGCAGGGCATCTTAATGTTCTTTTAAATAAAGAGAGGAGCCTGGTATGGTAGCATATGCTTCTAATCCCAGCACTTGGGAGGCCCAGGCAGGGGGTTCGTGAGTTGAAAGCCAGCCTGGGTTATATAACAAGACCCTGTCTCAAAATAATTAGCAAAAACAAAAAAACACCAAGGTGTATCTTTGTCACCACTGTCGCTGCCATGAATAGTGTTTGGGAGGCATACAAGGATGTGAAGCCAAGTAAGACTAGTGGTTTAATTGTTGGTTTGCTGAGAAGTTCCTCCAAGGGTATGGCTCTGGGTACCTGTGCCCTGACCTTTCCACATACCACCAGTAGTGTGTTCAGAAAGCAATAAAGGAGACAGAATGCCTATTGCAAGGACTGAACTTCATGGTCCATGGCAAAGATAAGCCTGAAAACTCTTCTTGACCTTACCTGTCACTTTGAAAATGAATACCTTGTATCAGAAAATTCAGAGTACTCTAGATTTTGTCAACTAAAACTGTAAATATTGAGATTAAATGAGTTCAGGAGGAAAGAATTTACTTCTTCTTTCTGGAGGCTTTCTTATCACTTGTAAAAACAGTGTGCTAAATTGAACAATTTCTTAGGATTATGGTTGCAATCCATGGCCTGGAACCAGCTTTGCAAATACCTTGTATATAAATAATGTTAAGCTAATCAAGATGATCAGAGTTGTCTGACCTCTTGACTTTTGCTGCAAAGGATATTAGGATACACTGTATGAGGTCACTGTTCATGAAAGCAGTTGGTTAGGACCTCTTTTTTTTTTTTTTTTCCTAAATAAGTTTTTCTAAAAACTTAAGCACAAGTTTCAGTCAATGTTTAGGAGCACAGTTTCTTTCTTTTTCTTTTTTTAAAATACATATAATAACAGTTAAGACTGTTGGTGGACTGGGTTAGCAAAGAGGAAGACAGCTTTTAATAGTTTCCTGCCTTCTTGAGAGGTATCTGATCAAGAAATGAAAGCTCAAGAATATTGACATAGGACCATTTCAGAGCTCTCAGGATGGTTCAGGAATACAATACTTGGAGTGGTTATGGAAGAATCTAAATTATAAAGATTTGCTGTTGCCAACTTTCAGCTTAAGTTAATGAGTTAAATCAATGCGCAGATCATCAAAAAAGCGAAATGTTGCGTTTGGTTAAATAAGGGAAAAGTGCTTGCTTTAGTTTCCTTGTTTGCCTTCCCTGCCCTGTAATGTCTATAATCATGAAGATGGAATAATTGTAATGTTTAGTTTTTATCAGTCACCCTAGAATTCAGTACACTTTATGGAACATCTGTTTTCCTGTTATACTCATATCTGTCATATACAGAGAGCTTTATGTTTTATAATTTAAAGGTGAAGAAATAAAGATTTCTTTAAGCTAGGTAATATAAGTTTTATTTCCATAGTAGCCTATAGGAATATCTTCTTAAAGTAAATTTATATTGTACTAAAACAATGTAGGATCAGGTGAGCACTTACATACTATAGAATGTTATGTAATCCCCACAACTGCCCATCTTGAGGCTATACTAAGAAATACCTTGTAGCCTCTTGACCCTTACCACAAAACTGTCCCATTGAACACTGAGAATAAGCCAGCTCCAAGACAACCATGTTCTTTCATTGTAACTTGTGTAAGGAGGCTGCACATGCTACTGTAGAAATTCACCACTGCAGAGAACTTTTAGGAAAAAAATTACAATAAATATCTTTAGTAAAATTCTTAATTTTCAGTTTAGGTGAGAATACCAAACTGGTATTTTCTGGAGTGCATTTGACTTTATTTTTTCTTTTTTTGTCAGTACTGGGTTTGAGTTCAGGGTCTTGTGCTTGCTTGGCAAGTTCTCTATCATTTCAGCCATGCTCTAGTCCTTTTGCTTTTTAGTTTGTTTTTCAGATAGAGTCTGGAGCTTTTTTGCCAGGGGTAGCCTTACACTGAAATCCTCCCTCTGCCTCTCAAGTTGCTGGGATTACAGGCACGTGCCACCACACCTAGCCTGTTTTTTGACTCTTGAATGTTGTAAATGACATGGAGTTGCATCTTTTCTTTGTGTGTGATACTGGGGGTTGAACTCAGGGCCTTGTGCTTGCTACCACATGGCACTCTACCACTTGAGCCACATCCCCAGCCCAAGTAGCATCCTTTACTCACACTGCACACACTCCCCTCCACCCCAGGGTCCATTGACTTGTGAAGCAAGTCCATGACTTTGGCATACTGTGGATAAAAGGAGGCAGATAAGAAGCAAAAGGCATGGGAGAGAGGTAGAGTGTTTTAGAAATTGAGTGACACATAGTAGGTGGTCTGAGGACCAAACTTGGCACATATAAATACATCTAGTTTGACCTGTGTGTTTTA